TTCCTTATCACTTTGGATGCCTTCTTTCTGTTGTCTGCTGTGGCTAAGACTTCCATTACTATGTTGAATAAAAGTGGTGGGAGTAGACATTTTTGTCTTGTTCATGACCTTAGAAAGAGCTCTCTCATTTTTTCTTCATTGAGTATGATGTTAACTATGGGTTTTTTATACATGGGCTTTATTATATTGAGATATGTTTTCTCTAGACCTACCTTGCAGAGGGTTTTTACCACGAATGGATGTCGTACTATGTCATGTGCCTTTTCTGCATTGAAGCAATCATATGGTTTTTATCCTTTCTCTTGTTGATGTGCTGTATCATGTTGATTTTTTTGTGAACATTAAAACTACCCTGCATCCCCCGAATAGATCCCACTTGATAGTGGTGCATGATTTTTTAAAATGTATGTTTAGATTCGGTTTGCTAATATTTTGTTGAGGATTTTTGCATATATATTAGAGATACTGTTCTGTAGTTCTCTTTTTTTGGGTGTCTTTATCTGGTTTTGGTGTCAGGGTGATACTGGCTTCATAGAATGAATTTGGAAGTTTTCCTTCCTCTTATATTATTGGAATAATTTGAGAAGAATAGGTATTAACTCTTCTTTAAATTTTTGGTAGAATTCATCTGGGAAGACTTCTGGTCCTACATTTTTATTTTTTGATTATTGATTCAGTTTCATTGCTGGTAATTGGTCTGTTCAAATTTTCTATTTCTTCCTAGTTTAGTTTTGATATGTTACATTTTTAAGAATTTATCTGTTTTTCAAAGTTATCCAATTTGTTGGCATATAGGTTTTCATAATATTCTGTTACAATCCTTTGTATTTCTTGGTGTTTGTTGTTATTTCTTCTCTTCATTAGTGATTTTATTTATTTGGCTAAGACTACAAACTCTCTCTCTCTCTTTCTGTCTCTCTCTCTTTTTTGATGAGCCCAGCTTATCAATTTTGTTAATCATTTCTAAGGACCATCTTCTGATTTCATTGATCTGTTTAATTGTTGTTTAGTTTATAAATCATTTATTTCTGCTCTATTCTTTATTTTCTTAATGGCTATTTATTTTGAGAGAGAGAAAGAAAGAGAGAGAGTTGGGGGGGAAGGGAAGAGAGAGAGGAGAGAATCTCAAGCAGGCTCCATGCTGTCAGTGCAGCTCAGTCTCACAAACCCTGAGATCAGGACCTAAGCTGAAATCAGGGTGCCTAACCAAGTGAGCCACTCAGGAACCCTTCTGCTCTAATGTTTATTATTGCCTCTTTTTTGATGGGTTTGATTTTGCTTGTTCTTTTTCTAGCTCCTTTAGGTGTAAGGTTAGTTTGAGAATTTTCTTGCTTTTGGAGGTTAGCCTATATTTCTATAGACTTCTCTCTTAAAACCACTTTTGCTGCCTCCCAAAGATTATGGACCATTGTGTTTTCATTTTCATTTGTTTCCATATGATTTTTTAGTTCTTCCTTGATTTCATGGCTGATCCATTGTTTAGTAGCATGTTATTTAAACTGCATGTATTTGTGGTCTTCCCAGTTTTTCTCTTGTGGTTGATTTCTAGTTTTACAGTGTTGGTCAGAAAAGATGCATGGTATGACTTTGATATTTTTGAATTTGTTGAAACTTGTTTTTTGGCTCAAGATGTGATCTATTCTGGAGAATGTTCTGTGTACACTTGAATAGAATGTGTATTCTGTTTTAGGATGGAATGTTCTGAATATGTCTGCTAAATCAATCTGGTCCAGTTTGCCATTCAAAGCTACTGTTACCTTGTTAATTTTCTGTTTGGAGAATCCATCCATTGATGTAATTGGGGTGTTAAAGTTCCCTAATATAATTGTATGACAATGAAATGTCTTTGATTATGCATTGTATTTTTTTTAAATTTTAATATTTATTTTTGAGAGAGAACACAAGCAGGGGAGGGATAGAGAGAGTGAGACACAGAATCTGAAGTAGGCTCCAGGCTCTGAGCTGTCAGCACAGAGCCAGACATGGGGCTTGAACCCATGAACCATGAGATCAATGACCTGAGTTGAAGTTGGACACTCAACCGACTGAGCCACCCAGGTGCCCCTATGCATTGCAATAAAAAATTTTATGTTTAGTAATTTAATTTTTTAATAGTTTGAAAATATTTCTATTTAAAACAAAATCAAATCTAAAATTTAAATTTTGTTACATTTTACTACATGATTCTTAATATTATTTAGTTTAATAATAATAAACTCTTTAATATGTATTTGAAAAGGAAATAGTTCCTCATTATTGCTTCAGCAGACCCTAAGAGACAATTATGTCTAAAATGAAAACAGCAAATGCCAAGGGCATAATAGGTCTATTTGGGAGGAGATCCTCTGTTTGCATGGAAGGACTGTGTAGAGGACTCTTTGTGAACATCATTTATTCTGTCTTTGCCTATCCTTTTTGTCACCAGAAATATGTTGAATCTAACAATTTACTTACTTGACCACATTAATTTTTTCTTGTTGTAGCTATTAATTCTTACAAATTATACTATTTTTTTCTCTCTGAATTGTAGTAAAAAATACAAAATAATTTCTTGTGGCTTTTACTCACTGAGACCTAATAAACGTGCTTGACATTCCATTGTCTCTGTCACTACTGGAATGCTGATTTTAAATCCCAGTAGTGACCCAGTGTCTCTTTAACTGAGTGTATTTGAATATTTGTACCTAAAAGCTCTTTAGTCAAATCTTTGATTACATCTTGTTGGCATTTTAATAATTCCCATTGAAAGCATTCTATAGCTTTGTTAGCCTTTAAATTCCCAAAGTATATTCTCCATTGCATCACAAATGGGCTGTATGTAAGAGTCTCCTCTGTGAGAAGAGATATTGAAGAACAAAGGCAGGAATAATAAGTAATTGTTTCTCCCATTAGGAGGTGATTGTTGTGAGAGTAGTGTTGGATTGCTAGAGAGGTAAATGTTTTTGTCTTCATATTTATGAAGTATAGAAAGAAAGAATAAATGGAAACCTATTATAATTCAAATGGTTCATTTGCTGTCATGAAAGTAATGGTCAGAATTATAGTAGAAATAGACCAATATATGAGGTCTGAATTCAACAATACAGCAACACCTTTTATCTGTTCTTAATAATATAGCTCTAGTTCTTCCTTATATTTAAAATTACTTTATTGGAGATATCAGCCTTTATTAAAATACCAATTGTCTTGGGGATGTTAATACTTGATCTTAAATTCACACATCATATATTAACTGAAAGAAGTGAGGGATATTAGATAGTAATGAATCTTATCTGTTAAAGAGTTAATAGAAGAACAGAAGTCTATGATAGGAAATAAAACACAAGATACAGTGGAAGAGCCTGTAGCTCTTAGCCTTAGAGGAGCTTAAAGGCTTTTTCTATGTCCTAAAGACAGTATCAGTGTTTGAAAGACTGAAATAACCACTGTATAATAGAGTGCAAGATGCACACTACTTAGAATTCAGTAGAGAGGGATTCCTGATTCATTTTGTAACAGCAGGTTTTATGCACAGAAGGAATGATAAATATTGAAGGCAGTGAGTACTTAAGTAAAGAAAGAAGTAGGGAAGGAAGGAGAGAGAGAGAAGAAGAAAAAGGAAAGGAGGGGAGGGGAGGGGAAGGAGAAAAGGGAAGGGAAGGGAAGGAAAGAGAGAAACAAGCTAATTTGGATGGTGCCATTTGTAAAGTTTTGTGCTTCAGTTTTGCTTAGGAAACAATGTATGTGTGTGCATATATGTTTTGTGATATAAAGTACCTATTTCATAATTCCCAACTTAGACTCTACATGGAAATGTCAGTTACTAATTAATCTCTTTAGGTTTAGACCTACAAAAAGCAAGTATTTCAAGTATTTTGAGTTTTTGAGTAGGTGTGCCATTGTAAAGTTTCTTTCACTTTCTTGATATGAGACTTTATTGCTTTTCTTTTTTTCTTTATCTCTTTCATTCTTTCCCCTCTTACATTTACTTAGTGGATCCTTCTTGCCCTCCTCTCTACATTCTATATTCCACAACACTGTTTAAGAACAAGTGTTCTTTGTCACTGGAAGCATGTGAAATATTGTTTTAAGTCACTAATATTTTGTTCTTGTTCCAGTATCTTCAAGCTTTTTAAATTTTTCATTTCAATAAAAAAACCATTTTGAACATGCACAAGTAACATCTATATTTTATTTGTATATTTTATATTCAATTATATTATGATTCTATATAAACTATAAAACTTTTAAAAGTAGAACTTCAAAGAATGTGATATAATAATATGTGTATTCACATATTATTCTACCATTATTGTTTTAATGCCAATAAATTATGTGTGTTGGGTAACCACATTCCCAATTTAGACACCGCTATTACAGATAAGCCTCAGATCTTAATTTCTCCAGAATGACCAGGATTTTAAAAATTTATTTAAGCCAGGTTGATGTATTGATATTCTATAGAGGAGAAGGACATAGTTCAAGTGTACTTTTTTTGCTTGGCTTTGTAAGTCAGCATTCCTAAGGTATAATTTACATAAAGTAAATGTACTGATTTCTATAATGAATAGTAAATTTTTACAAAAGAACAGACACTGGTAATCCTTATAGTCATGATATGGAACATTTCTGTCACCTTAAAAAACTGTCATTCCTGTTTGCTGTCAATCCCTACCTTAACCCTCATTCATATAAAAACTTGAAGAACTTGATAACTGAGTTAAGCTTTTGCTCAGTCAGAAACATTTTCTTATGCCTCATGCAAATCATAAACAAGTCAGGGTAGGGGCATTGCAGGACAGTTAAATAGCAGGACAGGACTGAAGAAGCAGAACAGTGTGGCTTTAAGACCAGGGTGTTGGCAGATAGGAAATGTAGAAGAATAAAGGATAGAAAAGAATCCATAGGTTGTGGGGCAGTGATGGTGTAATACACCATCTTTTAGTTTGAAAAGAACTATGAACTAGATGCAAGAGATGGAAATAAACTCTTTATTCCTTGATGTTCTATAGGCAGAGAAGATGGAGCTAGAAAATTGCACAGTGGTAAAAGAATTCATCCTTCTTGGTCTGACCCAGTCCCAAAATATTCAGCTCCTGGTTTTTGTGCTGATCTTAATTTTTTATCTCATCATCCTCCCTGGAAATTTCCTTATCATTTTCACCATCAGATCAGACCCTGGCCTCACAGCCCCCCTCTACTTCTTTCTGGGCAACTTGGCTTTCCTGGATGCATCCTACTCCTTCATTGTGGCTCCCAGGATGCTGGTGGACTTTCTTTCTGAGAAGAAGGTAATCTCCTACAGGGGCTGCATCACTCAGCTCTTTTTCTTGCACTTCCTTGGAGGAGGAGAAGGGTTACTCCTTGTTGTGATGGCCTTTGACCGCTATATCGCCATCTGTCGGCCTTTACACTATTCCACTGTCATGAACCCTAGAGCCTGCTATGCCTTGCTGTTGGCTCTGTGGCTTGGGGGCTTTGTCCACTCCATTATCCAGGTGGCGCTCATCCTCCACTTGCCCTTCTGTGGCCCAAACCGACTGGATAACTTCTTCTGTGATGTGCCACAGGTCATCAAGCTGGCCTGCACAGATACCTTCGTGGTGGAGCTTCTGATGGTCTTCAACAGTGGCCTGCTCACCCTTCTGTGTTTCTTGGGGCTTCTGTCTTCCTATGCAGTCATCCTTTGCCGTGTACGTGGGTCAGCTTCTCAAGGGAAGAGCAAGGCTGTATCCACATGCACGACTCATATCATTATTATACTTCTCATGTTTGGACCTGCCATCTTCATCTATACTCGCCCTTTTAGGGCCTTACCAGCAGACAAGGTAGTTTCCTTCTTCCACACAGTGATCTTTCCATTAATGAATCCTGTGATTTATACTCTTCGCAACCAGGAAGTGAAATCCTCCATGAGGAGATTACTGAGTCGGCATGTGGTGTGCTGAATAGATTTTAGAATAAGTCAAGAAGAGGGAATTCTTGTTATAAATCTTAGCAATAATCAAAGTGTTAACAAATACTTTTTCACAGAGTACCTCCCATTTGTCAGGTACTATTGTAGGCAGTGAGGGAGAGTTTTGCATATTAGAGAATAAACTTGGTATGTTTAAAGAACATAAAAGAAATACCTGAATGGTTGGAACATGATGAGTAATTATGAGAGATTTAAGGGTTACATTTTGTGTGACTGTAAGGGTCAATTACTAAGGTCTGTTAGGCTAAGATAAGGAATTTTATTCTATTCTAAATAATATAAAAAATACATGTTAATATTTTAAGCAAGAGAGTCACTCATCCACAATTTTCTTCTGTTGTTCTAACAACATCAATATCCTGGGCAGAGATCAATAAGCTATAAAACTCCATTAAGAGCTAAATACTAATCTGCAGACTTGTTTTGAAAAAGTCTCCCTCTCCTCCTTCCCCCCTTTCTCTATATTTGATTCTCTTGAATGTATATATTTATTTATCCCCCCAAATTTGCTTAATGGGTATGAAAGGAAGGTAATTGGTTTTATAGAAAAATGTCATGAAATTTTCTCATCTGACTCTTTTTTAGAGCTTCATGATTATTACTAATGGGTTTTTACAAATCCTCCCTTTATGTTAATCCTTGCCCTCAGTGGTTTTACTCATTATGATATTGGTAATTATTTGCTATAATTACCAATTACATAGTAATCTATAGTAATTATCAATTACTATAGATTCTGTTGGAGATTACATAAATTGCTTTATTATTCTAAATACAATGGATTTAATGTAGGAAATTAGGTACTTAAAAAATCTTTGAAGGGATAGAACACTTTTTTCTATGCTGGCCTTCTAGACACGATTGTCAGAAAAACAGTATAAAACTAGCCTGCCACGTGATCTGTCCCTATAGTAATCAGGAGACTGGGGAAACAAGAAGCTATTTTGCCAGTTCTTGACTGAAGGACTGTATCTCAATTAAGCCATGGTCTGGGATCAGGAGGATGATATAGAATATCTTTAATGTTATCACCTCTCCAATTAATTTTTTTCAAATTCAAGTTTTATATAAATACATTTTATAGTCAGAATTGGGAACCCTAGATGCAAAGGTTCTAGAAGAACCTGTTTATATGTTCTCAGTTATATAAACAAACAAAACAATGCCCAAAATGGTAAAATGTAGGGTAATAGTATTACAGTCTTGGAAGTTCAAAAGGCCACTGAAGTAGGATATAAAAATAGTAAATGAAAAGAAAAAATTATATTTGACATATTAAAAATGTATGTGTGTAGGCAAAAGGTAAAAAGAAAACTGATGAAAATCTGTTTACCACAAATGGATGGGCATATTATTTTCTCAGCAATTATAGAGGCTTACATGGACATTGAATTGAATGTTTCCTCCCTACCCCGGGATTGTACAAGGGAGTATCCATGCATAAAACTGGAAATAAAAAAGCTATTAACTAAAGAATATAAATGATAAAGTTAATTCACTAATACATAAGGAATTTCAATAAATGAATAGGAAATAGATCATACTCAGAAGGAAACTAGAAATGCGCAATTGAAACCAATAAAGTTAATTAATAAAGGAAAAAATGGAAAAGCTTATAAAAATAATTTTATCCTCAAAAGCAAATCATGAGAATACAGACTGCTGATTCTGGTTAGCTTGTAGAGGAATGATGCTCATGTATTATCAACAAAAAGACAAATGCAGAAATAAAATTATACTTTTCTGTGAGTGGATAAAGCAAGGAAATCTTATTACAGAGATCCAGAGAGGGAAAAGTCCATCTAGATGAGCAGAGAGCTATGCCAGCTTTCATATCTGTGGGCAAATACCTGGTCTGAATATGGGCACTTGGAGGAGTGAGCATGCCATAGATTGAGATATTTCATAGAGATGAGGAAAAAGCTCTAAGCTAGACAGACTAGAATCTGAAAAAGCCCCAAACACAAAAATAAATAGCTTATAAATTTCTCCCACTACCTCCACTGACACCTATACCAGTAATTTGCTCAGAAAAAGGTCAATGGAGGAAGGAATAAAGATTAGAGGGGATTTGAATATTTTTACCCATTATTGTAGTGCTTGGGTATTGATATCTATAGAGTTGAATCCTAAGGAAAACGAAAATATCTGAACTGTGGCACAACTTCTCTCAGCTCCAAGCATCAACAGGATAAAAGATATTGGTGGCAGTTGGCAGATGTTGGAGGTAAAACTAATTTGAGCTAAATTCAGTTTAATTAAAGATGATTCCAAGTCTCAGCTCACTTAGACCTTGAAAGAATATGAATGATCAGATCCTCGTTTTAACTTCTGGACAGAGGAAAAGGATTGAACTTTATGAAGAACTAAGCAAAATAACATTAAATACTGCTCATCTCCCATTGAATTTTTATATAAAGTATTGGGAATATCACTTAAAAATTAGGAGCTATGTCAAGAAAATAAAACAGGGAAGAGTGTCTCTAATAGAAAAATATTGATAGGCAAAAACTACCAGTTGAACCATATATAATTACCAGATAAAATCTTTAAGAACTTATAAATATATCTAATAAGCCATAAATGGATAAGTAGATGAGGATTTAAGGAGAGAAATATAAACTCTAAATATAAATGGATATACTAGAACTGAAAACAATAATATTTGAAATGTAAAAAAATTCCTTAGATGAGCTGAATGAACAACATTGTGGACAATGCAGACAAAATGACTAATGATTGTTAAGGTAGGTTATTAGAAACAACCCAAACTGAAGTTCAAAATTAAAAGATTAAAAATATTAATAGTGTTAATATACTTTGGGGCAATAACAAAGAGTGAAATATATGTGTAATTGGGATTCCAGATGAGGAGAAAGAGAATGGGACAGGAAAAGATGTAACTGCCAATAATTCATGTCCAAGAAACTCAGCAAAATTTAAGCAGCATAAATACAAGTAAGACCACAGTGTAACAGGTGCTAACCAAGTATGAAAAGAAAATCTTAAAAGCAACAGAGGAAAAACAGTTCAGAGGAGTGACAAGAATGGTGGTTGATCTCTTATCAGAAACAAAGGACACCATGTTGGTGAAATGGAAGTTTTAAAGTTCTTAAAGAAGAAAAACAAACTGTCAAGCAAGAATTCCATATCTAGTAAAAATAAACTTCCAAAATAAAGGTGTAACAGGTATTTAATATTCACAAGAGCTGAGAGAGAATGTGTTGACAGCAGCCCCCCACAAAAAATCATACTAAAAGAAAATTCTTCATATAAACAGAAAACATGTCAGATGGAAACTTGAATTAATGAGGAGGAATGAAAGGATCTGGAAATGGTAAAAAAAAAAAAAAAAAAGTGTATAAATATGGCAAGGAGTATTTTTACTTGTATTATTTACTTTATAATTAACTTCTTTAAAATAATAAAGTACTATGGGACATAACTTAATTAGAAATAAAATTTATTATAACAATAGCACATAGGACTTAAAGGAAAACAAATTTTATATATATTTTTGTAAATTACTTATACTCTTCACAAAGTGTCATTGAATAACAATTTGAAGTGACTGGTAAGCTGTAGATGAGTACTGTAATCACTAAAGCATCCACATATTTAAAAATAATACAAGGAGATTTAATTAGATAACCTTATAGGAGAGAAAATGGAATATTAATATTCAATACAAAAGAGGGAAGGAAAGAAATGCAAAGGAATGAAGAAGGATGGGGCAGATAGAAAACAAATACCAATGAACTCCAATATCAACAATAATATTAAATATATATGGACCAAACATGCCAATTAAAAAATGGATTTCAGACTGTATAAAAGAGCAAGATTCAAGTACATACTGTTTGTAAGATATCAGTTCTTAAATATAAAGACCCAGATATATTTTAAGTATAAGGGTGGAGAATGATATGCCTTATGTGATGTTTAGTTTTATGTATCAACTGCCTATGGGGTCCCCAGATTAAATATTACTTCTGGTCTGTCAGTGAGAGTGTTAGTATGAGCCTAGTACATGAATTGGTGGACTCAGTAAAGTAGATTGCCCTTCCCAAGGTGGGTAGGCATCATTCAATCCATTGAGGGCCTGAATAGAAAAAAAAAGCAGAAGGAGGAGGAATTTGCTTTTTCTTTCTTGCTTTACTAATTGAACTGGGACATTTCATTTCATCTCTTCTAGCCCTTGGACTGGAATTTATGCCATCAGTTCCCCTGGTTTCTCAGGCCTTTGAACTTGGACCAAATGACTCCACTGGCTTTCCTGGGTCTTCATTTAGCAGAGGACAGATTATAGGACTTCTCCAATTTCATAATCACATGAACCAATTCATTATATTAAACCTCTCTCTCTCTCTCTAATATGTCTCTAGCTAACCAACTATTCTATTTGTCTGGAAAACCCCAATACACCCTGCCAACACTAATCACTTCATGGTATAGCTGTATGAATAACAAAGTGAACTTCAAGTACCTAGAGGTATTATTAGGTATTTATAAAAGAAGTTCATATCAATAAAATGTCAATTCATTAAGACATAACAATCTTAATGTGATTCCTCTAGCAACAGAACTTAAAAATTTATGCACTAATATAGACATATCTAAGTAAAGAAATGGAGAACTCAAAGGCATAGATTGAGATTTTAATAACTTCCTTTGAAAGTTGATAGGACATGTGATGAAAAAATCAGCAGGGGCATAGAAGAGTTGAATGACACTAGAAACAAATTTAACCTGGTTGCTATTTATAGAGTATTGCACTCAACAACGAGGAATACACATTCTTTTCAAGTACACGAGAGGCATTTGCCAAGTGGACCATATGCTGGCCTATAAAAACATCTCAGTATACTGCATACAAAATATATTCTCTGACCACAATGGAACTGAATTAGAAATAACTAAGAAAAAACTATGTACATTTCTGAATTGAGACACAGTTTTAAATAACCCAAT